TGGTACCGGGGCCAATGAAAGCAAAAAAAAAAACTTACATTACTTCCATTTTATTTATTTTGGAATCTGAAAGATGCTTTATTTTGAAAAATGACTGGATTCTCTCTTACATCCGTCTACAGTACGTCACTCTTGACGCGCTTCTCCGTCACGTGATAGGTTACCGCTAAAATGAAACCCAGGAGCTAGCAAAATGAGAAAACAACCAAACGTCTTTGGAAAGTTTCTTTGGGAAGAGGAAAAGGCCCAGCCGGGAGACAGAAGAGGAGTCTACGACTTTCAAGAAAAAGAAGGCTACATTTAACAAGACAGTATGAGGAGTCCTACTTAAGAAATGGATTTATCTCAACGGGAGATTCCCACGCGCCAAGCCCAGTCTGCATAATATTTGTATTTGAGGCATATCTTATTTTGAAGGCACCATAGCAAACAGAGAGTGTTGTGGCCAGATAGGACGTACCTCGTGTCATGATTCGTGTTTATTATTATGTTCCAAAAATACCACAGTTTTCATGCATGTCATATCATATTATTTGGTTGTATTTACCCGTCACACCTTAAAGGCCGGTCCCTGAAAATATTGTCTGACATTAAACTGATCCGTGAGGCAAAAAAGGTTGGGGATCGCTGAGTTAGAGGGTGCATGAAAGGGTTAATATGATACAAAATGGTTTCTTTTGACATCTCCGATTTCTGTTGAGAGAGTAAAATCTTTCTGCGTCAAGTTTGTAATGATCAAACAAACATGCCGCGCTACAAATGGCAACTTTAACTGGACTGAGGTGTGAGTTCGGGAGCCCTACCAGGTGTGTTGGCGCCAGCAGTCGGGCCGCTGGCAGGAGATATGGGCCCGGAGCCTGAACGAGACTGTTGGGACTGAGTGGAGCCTGCAGGTGAGCCCACAGGGGAGGGTGAAGGTCCGCTCCTCTGGCTGTGAAGGTGTGGCGAGGCGTGGGGAGAGAAAGGTGACTGTCTCTGGGTGGCGGCGCCTGCTTGCTCTCCTTGGTTACTACTGCTGCTGACAGCTGATCCCAGACCAGCCTCTGTCCCCGTGGGGAGGTCATCTATGGAGCCAGACAGATCCTGGAAAAGAGGACAAAAACATCAACTGGAGGTGAAGCGACCATGGGGAAAATAAAAATGGATGACCGTAAATGGCCACAACATCGCCCGATTGATAGACTTCGAATGGACCTTACGCACGACAGCACATGAAACATTTCCACTGGAAAGGTGAGGCGGTGAACGAGGTTTGATGAGGGGATGATGTTGGCCACACCGTCACAGAGCTGTGCTCACATGGGAACATTTAACTTCATCCTGCAGTTAGTTGTCGGCTACTGTATATGCTTGTCATCATTATTTTATTATTGGTTGTCTCTTATATCTACGTAACCTCAACGTTGCGCAATATGCACCACACAGTGACAACAAAGGTGTTCTATGCTACTTTTTTCATTCTTTGGAGGCAGCACTCTTTGTTGTGGTTCCTTTTGTGCTCTGTCAAAAAACTGGAGTTGCCCATCTCAAAAGATGTCTCCCCAAAATTAATACATGCAATGAAATCAACAGTTTTCTACATTTTGAGTTTTATCCACCTTAATTGCTGAAGCATCATTCATGTTGAAAACACACTTTTTTTTTTTTTTGCATACAAGTTAACTCTTCCGTCCGGTATAATAGCTTGAAAAAAGATTAACAGCCTACAAAACGTCAAAATGTTACATTTCATACGATTAAAAACAACATAAAAAATATATACGCTTACAGGATACAGTATAAAGATGCTAGATATGAAATAACTGAAACTTATTTCATTATATCGGGAAAATATTTTTTTTTTTTTTTTGCATACAAGTTAACTCTTTCGTCCGGTATAATAGCTTGAAAAAGATTAAAAGCCTACAAAACGTCAAAATGTTACATTTCATACGATTAAAACCAACATAAAAAATATATATGCTTACAGAATACAGTATAAAGATGCTAGATATGAAATAATTGAAACTTATTTCATTATATCGGGAAAATACAGAACGCACCGTGTTAGTGTGGGCGCGCGCGGGCGTGTGTATTTGTTCTAAGTCGTGCTTTTATCTCGATCCAGGGATTCCCCATTAATACTGCTGAAGGAACACGAAGTTGCTTAAGCGCGTGGAAGGTGCGAGGCAACAGAACAGCAAGAATGTGAATGAAGCCTGGATGAGATGAGATTTGTCGGCTGGCCCCTAAACACACTCTCTGTCATTCATACACACACACACATACACGCATTTGAAACACACACACATTTTCCGACCGGCAGCTGAGCCTGAGCTGTATCTCGAAAATGAGGAGGAAATCACCTGTGAGTGACCCTCGGTTTGCTGGTGAGTACTCGCTGAGGGAGGAAGTGGAAGAGTCGCGGGTGGATGCCAGCTGATGCGACCCGCTACACAAACAAGCTCGGTGACCCTTCTGTCGGATCCCATCTGACACACGTGCCCACAAAGGTGACACCGGCCAGCATCAGTTTGTCATCCCGTTTTCTCTAAAATCACAGTTTCTCCTTCTCTCCATCCTCCTTGCTACGCTTGCGTGCTTACTGTACATATGCACAAACATGCTGTACAGTCGAACAACTCTAACCCTTTCATGCACCCTGTAACCTGGTAACATGATAAGCTGTCCACTATAATAACCTCTATCCCTGAAAGGGTTTTAAGCAACAAAAATTGCAACTTTCTTTTTTATCGTATCACAATTTTTTTTTTAACTCCACGTACAGCACTTTCAATGCAGCAATGGTTGTTTTTAAAATGCTCTATGAATAACGTTGAGAAACAGCTCCGCCTCTCACAAAATGGAAGAAAAGGCCTCGATCGCGATTGCACGTGCATCATCGCCTATCATTTTAGACCATGAAACAACATCATGTGACAAAACAACCTTGCCCTAAGTGGGTAATTGTTAATATTTTATGACACAGAAAGAGAAGTAGGGGAGAAGTGAGCATTTAGACACACCACACCGAGGACGGAGGGAGATGTGAAAATTCGCTGCAATCATAACTGTTCATTCATAAAAATTATCCTTAAAAAAAAATAAAATAAAAGGCTCCGGCCTTCTTGTGAGGAGTTTGCATGTTCTCCCCGTGTGTGCGTGGGTTTTCTCCGGGTACTCCGGTTTCCTCCCACATTCCAACAACATGCATGACAGGTTAATGGAACAATCTAAATTATTCCTAGGTGTCAGTGTGAGTGCGGATGGTTGGTCGTCTCTGTGTGCCCTGCGATTGGCTGGCAACTGGTTCAGGGTGTCCCCTGCCTACTGCCCAAAGACAGCTGGGATAAGCTACGGCACCCCCCGTGAGCCTTGTGAGGATAAGCGGATTGGAAAATGAATGAATGAACAAAGTAAAAAATAAATAAACATGGTATGTGTTATTAAAAAAAATTGTTGTTTTTTTTTTAAGTTTACCCATCAGTAACAATCAGTTGTGAGAGGTTTCCAACTCCCTTGAATTAACGTGAGGCATTGGCTGTGATTCAACACAAGGATTTTTTGTGTATTCGTGGAGCCATGTTGTTTCGGTTTTAACAGAAGTGCCTGTTGGTCGGTGTCTGCTTGTTGTCAACAGCGAAACACAAAGCTTTTGTTTCCCATCATGCCACTATGATAAGTAGTCTGGCAGCCAGTAGTCTGGCATCATCTAACCTTGCTCTACTGAACATGTGGGGCACCCGCTCACTTATCTTCCTGCCTCACCCTCGTTACCACTTCCTGTTCGAGCCAATCAGGTCACCTAGTAGTCCGGCGGAGCGAGCAGCCTCCCAAACGGACCGGAATGTAGTTTTCCAATGAGCAGCATGCTGCTCTACACAACACAGGTTACCATGACAGCCAGCGTGTCCATGGTGATGGCTTTTCCAAAGACAGTAACCACGAGCTAGCGTGATGAGCAGCTAAGTTGTTAACCCATGGGCTCATTATGTGAATGGATGGGAATAATTGCATTTCGCCTAATTGGGTGCTGTTGCCAGCTTTTTTCACTGGCAGTTTAGGGGTGGTAAAATGCGTATCAGTAATTTGTTTAGTGTCTCGTTTGGATTAAACACACACTTGAGCACAGCTGTGTGGCCCAAGACCAAAAAAGTAGCAGCACTAATACAATGAAAGGGTGGTAAACCTTAACACCCTTTGACTATATAAATGCCCATTTCAAATCCACCCATCACAATAGTGAAACACCACCATTAAAAAAAAAAAAAAATACAACGCTTCTTTAGTTTAATGTTTTCCCACCCACACTCTTCCTGTACTTTACATTGAATCCAAGTCACGGGCCACAGAGTTTTGTGTCTACTGCAGTCACACAAGCCAGCCGGCGAGCCAGCCAGCTAACCATCCAAACAGACATGTGGTTGCAGCATCCAAACACACCCACAATCGGCAGCCGCGATCCAAAGTGGCCCAAATCCAATTTGTTTGGCTCTCGGCTGCAAATTGCTCTGTGTATTGAGTCTCCAAATAGCTGTCAACCTCTCCTGCTTGGCGTCCTGTACCGCTTAATTCACTCCTGGAGCATGTAATTGTCATAATAAGAAAAATATTGAGGTGATAATAAGTTACTTTGAGATGGCCACCGCCCACTCATATACACACACGCGAGCACACACACAAAGTGTGTACATAATGGCCCGAGACTTCAATCGGCACATTTCACACAACATTGGAGAGGCAGTTGCTCGTGACCCTTCACCTTGCTGGCATTGGCACCTGTCTACAATGCCTTTATGTGTGTGTGTGTGTGTGTGTGTGTGTGTGTGTGTGTGTGTGTGTGTGTGTGTGTGTGTGTGTGTGACAGACACACAATGTGGCTGGGCTGTCACAGTGAGACATGCCTGGCTACTGATGCAGCCAAGGGGGACAGATGAGACTTGAGTGCGATGAGACGTGTGTGTGTGTGTGTGTGTGTGTGTGTGTGTGTGTGTGTGTGTGTGTGTGTGTGTGTGTGTGTGTGTGTGTGTGTATGCGCAAGTACCAGTATGTGGAGGGCGATGGATGACAGATCTCTGTGCCATGCAGTTGAGGATTTCGATGCATATTGCACAATTTATGTTTTGCGGTGCCAAAGACAAATGTGTAGTATTGGTCCAGAAGAATTTTGACCATGACAGCGGAAAAGGATTCCGCCGTCATCCATTCTAGTTGTCTTAAACAAAGTGAGACCAATTGAATGGAAATCAATGGAACATTTTCCAGTAGCCACATGAGCGCACCTGATCTCAGCCCAATAGAGCAGGGGCCACCGACCTTTTGGAACGTGAGAGTTACTTCTTGCGTACAGATTCATGCGAAGGGCTACCGGTTTGACACGCACTTTATGAAATAGGTTTTCTCACATTATTTTTTTGAAATGATCAATTCTACAACATTCCCAGAAAATTATGTTCCATCATTGGCGAGCGATTATTTATAGGACAGGCCTTCAGGCTACTCATGTCGTCCTTGGGGGCCCACGGGCACCATGTTGGAGACCACCGCAATAGAGTATGAGTTGCCCTTTCTGAAGACGTAAAAGCAGAAAGCGAAGGTGGTTGCTGTGAATGCCTGGTCAAAAAGTCGCCACGGATGAGGAATATGAGATCCTTGGGCTTGAAGCAATCATTGACGGCAAATAATTTCCATCCAAGTATGAAATGCTATAATTGTCATTCTATTAGTTATTAAAAGTCGATGTCATTCTTTTAAGCCGTGCGTTGCCTTCCACTGCAGCGATGGAAGAGAACTTTTCCAGAGTTTCGATTATTACTGATTTCTTTTTATGTATCCATAGGACCTGTTTTGTCTGGATCAAAATAAAAAGCACATTAGTGTTACATATACACTGTGGTACTCAATATACGTACAGAAATAAGACCTCTGTGCATACAGAGGTGAGCTTTATTCGTTGTTTCCGTTCTCTGGGTAAATATGATGATGTGAACTGTAATTAAGTCCACTAGCTATGGTTGGTAGGCCTGAGGGACAACTCTGCTCATTGCAGCAATGCACACATTTGTCGGCTCCGGACGCCGCGCTTTCCATCTTTACGGTGCTGT